TGCTTGTATAGTCGCTGTCTTTTAATTAACTTTTTTTTTCTATGTATAGTATATTTCTGCAAATGTAAAACGAGTAACTGTTTTCTTCAATTCAGACGATTAATGAAGGTCTAATAACGCCTGTAGTTCGAAGGAAGCAGTATAACAAAGATGTTGGTAGTGTGGTTGCATCAACAAGTGGATGGTCGGGAATTGATGCCTCGAAACCGTTTTCTTATTATAAAAATCCACTTAGAGATGACGATGACGACTCAAGAAGCGAAACAGGGGCAGTTGTCGATCACGCGTTTACTCGAAGGTTAATCGTTTCAAAATTTCTTTTAACGATGCAGAATTGTTTGCTTGGCAAGGAAGAAGGCAGTTTGACCTTGCCGATTGCAAATTTTCTCTACTGCTAAAAATGCAAATGAAATTTTTGGTCAAGAAAAATTGCTTTTTCTTCCCACATTTATATGGCCTTGCCACTTCCGGCGCTCTAGCACACCTCGCTTTTTCGTCAGTTTACTGATTTGCTTATTGCGATTTTTTGTCAGCAGTTGAATATCCCGTTTCAACTTTCAATCTGTAGATGCTGAAAGCTTATTGGTATACCTATTTGTCTAAGCATAGTAAAAAAAATAAATTTTTGAAGGTAAAATAAAAAATCGCATTTCATACCGAAACTTTAGTATCTTTTTATTTGGAGGGTAGTATTAGACGATTGGACATAGTAATACTTACTGAATTGTCATTCATCATTACTCATTGAATGGGATAGTTTGAGACATCGTTATTATTCTATTGCTGCTTATTAGCTAATCGAAATTTGTTTACGAGCTTTTTGTTCTTACCTTAAGTCTAATATTCCTTGAAAACTCGCCATCTATAAGAAAAGAACCTTTAAAAAAAGGTAGAAGAAAAAGGAGTAGGAGAGAAAGTGTTGATGAAAGTCGTTACGAAGTAAGAAGCGTTGTATTTATGTTTATTTATTTATTTATTCTGCTTCACTGCGTGCGTAATTTGGAAGTTGTTTGTATTTTTAACAAATTTGTTACTTCCTTTGTTTTACGAGTGACGAATGCGCGTTTTTGCGTTTTTGCGTTATTTTTTTTTTTTTTTTTTTTTTTTTTTTTTTTT